GCATCTACCTCTGCCTCTCATTATCTAGGTGTACTCCTCCAGCTGGTTCCCTCATTAAGTTAAATATAAATGCTCACTAGATTAGTGTTGTTTTATTGTTGTAAATACATATGTAACAAATCGTTTCCTTGACAACATTCTTCATGTGTACAATTCAGTACATTAGTCATGTTTATCATGTTCAACCATTACCATTATCTGTTTCTAAATTTTCCCATCACCCTTAACAGAAGCTCAGTGTCCCCTAACCAGTGAGTACCCTCTTCCCTCAATCCACCTGTGGTAACTACTAATGAGTGTTATGTTTTTAAATCTTTGAAACCTAGGTATTTTTTTCTTTTTAAATAATTGCAGTGCGATGGATCACTTTTTTGTGGGCTTTCTCATCATGGTCTTGTAACTCACCCAATCACAATCACTTGGGTGCCACCATGCAAATAAGGTCTATGGAACCCTAACAAAGGGATTGGTCAGTTCTGCCATCCCACTAGGCTTAAAATAAGCCATCCCAGAGGCGAGAAGATCTCACCACCATCAAGAAGAGCTGAGAGAGAGAGAGAGACAGAGGGCTGTAACAATGAAGACAGCGAGAAGCAGTGGCAGGAAGAGACCAGCAGGAGACACCACGGTGGGCCAGGAGCAAGAAGACTGAGCGCCTTCGGGCAGGAGGCTTGCTGGCGGAGTAGGGTGCCTCCGGGCACTTGGTGGAGCTAGGTTTGCTGACCCAAGGAGCTAGAGCTGAGCACTTTTGGGCAGAGGCTTATTGACGGAGTGGGGTGCCTCTGGGCATTTGTCGGCTGAGTTAAGAGCTTTGTAACACTTGCCTGTGCAGAGCAGAGGCCAAAGGGCTGGTGAGAGGCATGCCTGCAGGCACAGCTGGAAACAAGCTGTTCTGATGGAAGAATTGTACCCTGAGTGTTCCTGAACTTGAACTATAACCTGTTACTTCCCTAATAAACCCATAACTGTGAGTATGGTCTGTGAGTTCTGTGTGGCCATTGCAATGAATTATCAAACTCTGCTGTAGAGACTGCCATGGGAGGGACGGTTGGTGTCAAAACCGGTAAAGATGGCAGAGAGGGGAGGCATGTCTGACCTCTGCCTTATAGGAATCAGCCTTGGGCTGTTGCTCTTGATTCTCCTTCCCCCTTGTGAAATTAGAGGAGGTTAGATACCTCCACCAGTCACTGCTGCAATAATATTTTATTGTTTTCAGTGAAAGCTAACACAGCAAATTAGGTTCCTATTTGATAATTTCTATACAGATTATTCAATGATATTAGTTACATTTTTCACAATGTGTCAGCATTCCCTTTAATTGCATTCTGGTTGTTCCATTTCCAGTATTCTAGTTTCCTTGAAAACTGTATTTTGACAGGGGTACAGTAATGTTCTATTTCTTGACCTGCATGGTGAATGCAAGTGTTTAACTGTATGTGTGCTATATTTCACAAAAGAAAGTAAAAGTTAAAAAACAAAAATTGTATATAAAAAACAACATGTAACTAAATAAAATCGAGCTCCTCTGCCTGAAGGGAGTGCTGAACCTCTCTCACTAGTGGCTCCTTAAAGAGGCTCCAGCAACTCAAGTTTCCAATCCATTTAAGCCATGAGAGCTCACAACCAAAGACTAGGATTCCCAATGTATAAACTTACATCCCATAACTTCGAGCATAGGCCTCCCAATTCTATAGATGTCTTTAATGAAGACACAATTACTTACCACAAATATATATAACTTACTGGCATCTTTCTTCAAAATTTTTCACATGTTTTCTGTACTGGACAATGGCCAAACTTCACTCCATGTCCTTTCTTTAGCCATGATGTAGAAAGCAGACAGGTCTGCCTTTAAACTAATAATAACTAGACTGACAACATTCATCATATGCCAAGCACTGGACATTTTCCTTGCAACCAACTTTCAAGGCAGAGCCTATTATCCTCATATGGGGAAACTAAGGGTCAGTGAGATCTGCCCAGCAGTCGAGCCACAGAAGGTGGGATTCCTGCCCTTGCAGTCTCTTCCACCTGCCATCTTGCCTCTTAGCAGGACTGACATCATACAAGTCCAAAGCACACACCACCTAGGGAGACCAGACACTTCCTGGTTTGTTTGTTTTTTTTTTTTAATGCTTTCACTGGTAAAACCTCTAGTCTGTAGCATATTCCTCCAGGGAAGCAAAGCTTCATCTCTTTGCAAGATGGTCTGACCTTTGGAAACAGCCAGGAGTTATTTGGTGCCAATCTGGGAAATGAGTGACAAGCTATATACAGAAACACTATTTTGGATACAAAACGAAAGGTGTGGCTCTAAACACCACCTTTCCCAAAACTCTTTTGGAAGCTGGGACAACTTAGCAATTGTTCTAAGTATGGCTTAAAGTTCCCTGGGGGTTCTGAGACATGGTCAGGTCTGGCACTGACTTAGGGGTTGGCGAAGCATTTTTGGACTTCAGTGAGTGAGTGCCAATGTAAGCCAGGGAGTGAGTTTTAAATGTTGGTTCCTGGGCCCCGCTTCCAGAGATGCTAATTCAAGCAGCCTAGGGGAGAGGAATCCGGGACTCTGCATTTTCAATAAACTCCCCAAGTGATTCTGCTAGAGTTGTTGGGAGACCTGCATTTGAGAGACTCTAACTGCATTTAGTAAAACCAACTCTTCCAGCCTTGTGGTCACACCTTCCAGGGCCCAGCTAAAGCTGCAAAGCAGCTCCTAGGTCAGGTTCAAGTCACCTCCCCCACCTCAGATCAGAGGAGGACCATCAGCTAATTGCATCCCTGCGGTTAACAATAACATGGTTATCTCTCTAGGTGTGGAAGTCTTGGCCAGAGCTTTGTGACCAGGGCTCTCAGACAGACTTTAAAAGTTAAAACCTCCGACAGCTAGGGGGTAGAGGGAAGAAGAGCAGATAGAATAGGCTGGGTATGGAGTTTTCTGGAAGCTTTCCAGAAAGGCAGGGAGAGATGACTGGGCTTGTCAGTCCAACCCTCCACCCCCCAGGTCTGGTAACTCACAGGCTGGAAGCATGAATGAGTGTGTTGGAGGGTAGAAGTTGCAGACCTGTAGAATGGGGGCGAATGTCAACAATAAAAGACAAGAGTCTTCACAAAGAAAAGCCGCTGGCTGAAGAAAATCCAGATTCCAGCTTTGTGAGCCATTCCAGGTTTTCGCCATTACTCAAAGCTAGCCCGTCCTCTAGTCTCTAGGAGTCCCTGGGTGGTGACTACTAACCAAGGGGTTGGCAGTTCAAACCCACCCAGAGGCACCCGGGAAGACAGGCCTGTTGATCTACTTCCAAAAAGTCACAGCCTTGAAAACCCTCTGCACACACGGATGGGGTGGCCATGAGTCGGAGTCAACTCGATAGCAACTAACAACAACAACATCCCTCTTTCTTAGCCGTGGTGATAGCTCTAAGACTCACCTTTTGTATTACTCTGGTGGGGGAGGTCTAGGGTGTGAGGCCAGGCCCTTACCAGACCCTGATTTATAAAGAGGCCTTTATAAATGTGACAGGATTTTTGGGAGGAAGAGGGACGAGAGACCTCCAAGGTATGCCCTCCTAGCCTAAGTGAAGCACTTCACTTCCTCAGGCTCCTTATTTCAAACTGCAGGTCAACAACCAAATTGCAAAACTCACTTCGGAGCTCTGCAACCAGCATCTTTACAAATAAAAGAGAAAATATCTGAAAAGCCCTCCATGTAGTAAGTACTCTTTCGTGAAACTTTTGACTCTGTTTTCTCTCTAAATAAATGCATGCCTGTTTGGCAGGTCACAATGTAAAATGTATTTCTTACTGTAGGTTGCAGTCAAATAAAGTTTGAAAGCCACGGTCGTAAGCATGGCTGGTCTGCTGTCTGCCTGGTTGCTCCGAGCTTCAGAAATCCACCTGACCCACTGTTGAGGTCTACTGTAAGCATGGTCCAGCCACCCTCTAAAAGGAGCACCTTACCAAGGAGGCTTGGCAGAGGGATACAGAGGGCTGTGGAGACTGCGGGTGGATGCCGGGGGCTAGTTGAAGCCTGGGGCTCTCGCCCAGCCTCCATCTCCAGCCCCCCAACACAGAGTGATACTGGGCAACTTGCCAATCTTCTCCTATTACAGACTCCCCTTCTGTTAGTTGTGAAGACAACTACTTGCCCAATCCTTCGTTGTGGAGGGCCTCCTAGCCCAGGCTGGCTGGGCGCACCCTGCCACTCTGCCCCCAGGCCCTGTGGACAAGGCATTGCCCTCTGTTCCCTGCTCACAGCAGCACCCTGCCCCACAAGCCCGAGGCCACATGGGCTGCTGGTCTGTGGCTCTGCCAAGCAGGAAACCAAGGCCTGCTCTCTAGTCACAGGTGCCACGGAGGGTGTACAATCCTGGGGACTGTCACAGCGCCCACTCTCCACTTCCACCCCAGCTGCAGTCAGGCCCTGCTGACTGTCCCAGGCCCAGGAGGGCCCAGGCCAGGGGGTGAGGGGCAGCGGGCAATGCAGGCTGGGGTTTTTACACAGGAAGGAAGAGCAAGCCAGGGTGGGGGAGGAGGTCGAGGGAGGGCGGAAATGACTGCAATGTCAGCACCCAGAGCAGACAAGGAGGAGGCTGGCCCCTCCCCGCACCCATACCCAGTTTTGACCTTTGTGCTAAGATGAAACATCCAGCCTGCACCCTGACACCCACCATATCCAGGGAAAAAACAGCTTCAGAGAGCGTGGGGGCTGATTTCACACACAGGCCCTCCTACATACCCCCACAAAAACCCATTCCCTTCAAGGAGGACATACCCTGTGGGCTGAGGGGGCAGTGAGAGGGAGTCTAATGGCACACAGAGGAAAGGTGTCTGGAAACTCCAAACCTTTCCCTCTCCTCTGCTCAAGGAGCAGCCAGCAAAGCCCGCCCAAGAGGGCAGGGGCAGCAAAGAGAATTGGCCCCAATCATGTCTGCCAGGCTGGCAGGGAGGGGAGAAGCAGAGAGGGTGATGGGTCAGTGTGAGTACCTCAAGGGCAGGGAGCTTACATTACTGATCTGGTCCTGGGTCTTCTTGATTCTCTGGAGTTCAGGTGTGTCTGCCACCACGCTGAAGCCTTTGCCTTTGTTCTTCTCAAACTCTTCCTTGTAGCGCACCTGGAGGATCCAAGGAGTAAGGAAGAGGGATTGGAGTCAGGCCAGGGGGAGCAGAAAGGGCCTCAGCCCAAGGCCACCTCCGAGGCAGCAACCAGCCAAGAAATGGGGGCAGGGAGCCAGGAGCAAGATCCTGACCAGAAATCCACTCTGTAGTAATACCCACCCCCCAACTCAAAAGTGAAGCCTTAGCAACAATGCATTAGACTAATAATAATAGCCCGCTAATATTTACTCATGGGGCAGTGGTCGTGCGGTGGTAGAATTCTTGTCTTCCATGTAGGAGACCCGGGTTTGATTCCCGGCCAGTGCACCTCATGCACAGCCACCACCCATCTGTCAGTGGAGACTTGCGTGTTGCCATGACGCTGAACAGGTTTCAGCAGAGCTTCCAGAGTAAGATGGACTAGGAAGAAAGGCCTGAAGATCTACTTCCAAAAATCAGCCAATGAAAACCCTATGGATCACAATGGTCCAGTCTGCAACCGATCTTGGGGATGGCGCAGGACCGGGTAGCATTTCGTTCCCTTGTGTATGGGGTCGCCACGAGTTGGGGGTTGACTCAATGGCAGCTAACAGCAGCAACAATATTTAGTAAGTGCATTCTGAGTGGTAGGCACAGTGCCAAGTGCCTGAATTATCTCATTTAAGTCTTAGTATTACTGTTATTAGCCCCATTTTACAGATAAAGAAACTGAGGCACAGAGAGGCAAAGTCCCCTATCCAAGATCACATGGCTTAGTAGCAAATGCCCAGAGCCACCAGGATGCAACCCTCACCAGCCTGACTCTGACCCTTCACCACTAGCCCACCCTGCCTGAAAGCTATAGGAAGGCTCTTCCCAGCACTCCTAGGACTGCCCGGCCCTCACCATAGCCAGGAGGGGGTCCTACCCACTGGGAGCCCGGGGGAGGTTTTGAGACCAGCTGAGTAAAGGCTGTGCCAAGGGACAAAGTTGGCATCCAGAGAGGAGGGCGCTAAGACAGCCACAGGGAAAACCCAATCAATGAGCCTTTGACAGGCTCCGGCGGCTTCCTGGAGCCTGCCAGGCTGGCTTCTGAGGCCACCACCACAGGAGGGGAGGCAGCTGGTGGGGGACAGACAGCACTTCAGAACAAGATTCCAAGCTCCAGAGAGGAACCAACTACTCCACCCACTGCCCTCCTCTTCTGAGAATTTTCATGGAAAACCCAAGTACTAGTGGGACTCAAGGCAGATAACAGAGAGGACTTCCCTGATACCAAAGGAATTAAAATGTAAGAAATAGCTTGTCCTCCTCTGGGGGTTTTGAAGAACAGAATAGAGGCCAGGAGAGGCCCATGGGACAGGAACTGTTTCTTGGCTTCCAGAGATTCACTGTCTACCTCTGCAGCCAGCTGTTGCAGACTTCCCCCACCCCCAGCTGCCTGGATTTCCTCCGTGGGGGATGCACTGTCCTGGAAGGCAGGTCAGCCCAGCACATGAGGCCTGGGCCCTTGGGAGTTTCCAGGATGACGAGCCCAGGCGGCTCCTGGGCATGCAGTCAACCAGCCACCGTGCTGAGCTGCACCCCTAACGTCAGACATATACTGCCAAGGCCACACCTGCCAGTTCCTCTGCACAGCCCCAGGGCCCCAGCTCACCCATCTGTGGGGTTCTTCTTCCTAAAACGTTCCAGAAGAGGCTGGGGGAGTTGCGGGACCTGAAAGGCCTGAATGTGCTGGTTCCCATCAGACTAGAACAAAGTGGATACAGGACCCAACCCACCCAAAGGCCAAGAACCTGCCCAGCATCAGCCCTTCCAGAAAGCTGTGCATCAGCACAGTGACTTTTAATAGGGAGCTAGGGGTCCTCAGGGAAGGGAAGGCTCCAGTCAGGAAAATGGTGCTCCAGATAAAGAAGTCCTGATTCCAAGGCCTCTGGCTCAGGTTCTTCATCTGTAAAAAGGTTGTCAGGAATGTGGGGAGCCCTCCTGTCACCAAGTGTGGGCACAGAGCCAGACAGAGCTGGTACTCACACAGGCTCAGTCTCCCATTTGCTGAGTAACCTTGAGCAAGTGACTTAACCTCTTGAGCCTCAGTTTCCACATCCATAAAATGGGAATCATAATACTAGTCATTCCAAGCCACGATGCAGATTATAGACAATGGCTCCAGAGCAGCAAGTGCACCATGGGGTGCACAGTGGGGCTCAGTGAACACTGCTAAGGGGGAGTGTGAAAGTGCTTCATCAACATTAAAGTACTGGGCTCATGCCAGTCCCCACTCTTTCCTCTACTTTCCAGCTTCACAAGGGTCAGGCCCCTAATCCGGGGAATAATTGCCATGGCGACACTGCAATGACATCAACTGGTTCCCAGGCTCAGGAAGTGCCTCCCCCTCCCTGCTGGGGAAGGATAATACATTTCACTCCTGGTTCTGGAGGCCCAGAGGGTGGGGCTGGGCAGAGTGGGGCTGAGAAAGGAGGAGGCCTGGGCTCGGCACCACTTTGCTGTGTGTCCCTGGACAAGTCAATCCCCTTCTTCTCTGGGCCAATCCCCCTGAGGGGGCTAGCTATTTGATCTCTAAATGCCCTCTCAGCTCTAGAGGATAGAACCATTTTTAAGTACTTCCAGGCCCTGACTATGGAGAATCAAAACAAGGATGCTCTGAGTGGCCTTTAGGTGCTGGTGGGAGTGGTAAAGTTAAAGGGTGTGAGCCAGAGGTGCAGGGAGGGCCCTGCCCAGTGCCCTCCATCAGGGCTCCTCATTGCCCAAGAGGGAGTGTTTGCCCTCATTGCCTGGGATGGCTCAGCAAGAGGGGATGGGGGTCCCTGTAGAGGGAAGAGACCTGCCCAAGGTCATCTGACCAGTTAGAGGCAGGGCCAAGACAAATGTCCAAGGTTCCCGTCGCCCAGCCCAGTGCTCCCTGCAATAGGTCAAGCAACTGCTGCCCACGAAATCACTCTACTTTCCATATGGAGGTTTATGTCATTACCCACCCCAGATCTGCCTGCTCATCACTTATCCCAGCACACAGTAGGCATGAATACATGTTTGTGGAATGAATGATGAATGAATTAATGCAGACAAATAATCTCCAAAAACAAGGCAGCATGATTAGTTGCTTAAATGACTGTCTTACGCTGACCCAACATAAAAGGAAAGATCATTGCCTAAAAAACATTTATTAAGCAAAATACAACAGTAGCAATTTCCACTTCCTAGTGCCTACTATGTGCTGGGACTGCATACTATGTAACCCACCCCTTCTAACAAAAAAGAAATCAACAGTCACCCAAATGTGGAGAGCGAATGAAAAAAACCAGGGCTGGAAGCAACAGTCAAAAGGACATTGTATCCATTCCCCACCAAGCTCCATTTTCTCTCCTTTCCAGGAGAATAATAATCGCAAACATTTATTGAGTGCTTACTCCCTGCCAGGGACTCTTCTCCCAAATGCTTAACTATACTTGTATCCTCACAACAACCTTTTGAGAGAGGCAATATTATCCCCATTTTACAGATGAAGGAACTGAGGCACAGAGAGGTTAAATAACTTGCCGAAGGTCATACAGTTAGTGGTAACAGATCCTCAATGCAACCTTAGGCCAGCTGGCTCAGGCAGGCGTCCACAATCTTAACTAATGTGCTGTGTCCCTGCAGGTCACAGGAGCCATGCGGGGAGAAAGAGGAGAGGGCCCAATGCACCAAAGGGGCTCTCACTGCACTCTCCTCCACCCTCCAGGACAGCACCATGAAGATGAGGGATACTCCCTCACAGCTGTGCCTGGGCTCAGGGGGTCACAAAGACACCCCCAACTCAGTCCTACCCCAAAGCTGCTGCTTCTACTCAGCATGGTACTGGGGGTGGGAAGTGGAGAGCTGGGACCCAGCTGCCAGCGCCCTGCCTCAGCCAGGCCTGGGCAGGGCCACCCAGAGGGTCATTTCTGGACAGCTCTGTGGTTACATCCCCTGTAGGGGAGGCTCCGGGTGTCCCAGACACCCAAAGTGCCACTTCGGGGACCAATATAGAGACCAGAAAACAAATAAAAGTTGAAACTGCACAGGTAGCTTCCCAGAGCCAGAGAAGGGCTGAGACACATCAAGGAAGGCCCCAGGAAGGGGGCCCTGGAAGCAGACCAGCTGACACCCTGGTGAGTGGGGTGGGCCAGGACTGGCAGAAGAGCCTTCCACTTCCCTTCCCGCCAGCCACAGGCAGCTCTAGCCAGCCCTGCCCCCTCAGCGGCCACAGGAACCAGAACCTGTCACCACCCCCAGCCAGGCCAGCTCAGCCCTTCCCAGCCTCAGAGCATGAGGCCCAGCCCCTGACCTCTAAGCAGCTGGGGCTTGCTGTCTCCGTTATTACTCCTGAGAAAAAGAACTATGGCCTAGAGAGGCAAGCAGCTGAGCCCAATCACACAGCTCTTAGGAGCTAGAAGGGGGTCAGAACCAGACCTGCAAAGAGGCCAGGGCCCTTCCCCCTCCACCTTCTGCCTACCCCAGCCAGCCCCCAATTGGCCACCTGTCCCTACACCTGTCCCTAACCCCCAAAGACCAGAACTTCAGGGCATGAGGGCTATGCCCTCAATGCAAAGCCCTAACTCTCGTAGCTCACACCCCTCAGAACATAAACAGGATGAGCAGGATCTGTCTGCTCCTGCCTGTCCCCCTTTCCACCCACCAGCCCAGCTCCAAGTCTGTCAAAGTGCTGCCTGGGAATAAAAAGCTTGCATTAGAATCACCAGGGGAGCATGTCAAAATGCAGATTCCTGGGTCTCACTCAGAGCTGCCAACCAGAAGCCCTTCGGGTAGGGCCTAGGAATCTGCATTCTAGCAAGTCCTTCTCCCAAACCTGTTGGTGATGCTGGCACATCCTGCAGATTGAGAACACAGGGCTGTATGATGCAGCAGACTGCAGAGCTGTTAAGAATAAGACTGGGTTTGAAATCAGCCCGCCACTGGGCTCTGGGCAAGTGGTAGAGCCTCTCTTAACCTCAGTTTCCCTATCTGTACAATGGAGATAGTAAGAGTCCCTTCTTCATAAGCTGGTTGTGAGGATTAAACGAGGTCAGGTGTATATGCAGGGCCTGGCCCTCCACAAGTACCTAAGAAAGAGTGGCTGCCACTCTTTCGATTTCCCCAGTCGGCCCAAGGGACTGAAGCCTAGCAGCCCGGGAGCCCCAGGGGTGAACAGCAGGCCAGTCCCCTGGGAAGCAAGGGCACAGGTGGGGCAGAGGAGCCTTCAGACCCTGTGTGTGGTGTCTCCTTGCCCTGTGTGAGAGCAGAAGTGGCCCCTGCGAAGGCATGTCCTGTCTGCCCCCTCCCTGCTCCTCATCCCTGGGCAGGGGGCATGGCAGAGGTGCTTCCCCTACAGGCCCTGCCCCTTTGGGTTTGGGTTCCAGGGGCAAAAAGAGCTGCAGCCATGCTTTTGTGGGACTGACAAAGGCTGACGGAATTAAGATCCCAGCCAACAGCCGGATTTGAATTTCTCCTCCTGAGAGTAGGGTGTGTGTGTTTGTCCCTTGCCTCTGCCTGCACGTGTGCCACGCTTCTGGACCCACATCTTTTCCAAACACCCGCTGTCTTCTTCCAGTATCTCTTCCTCCAGGTCCCTCTGCTGTGGCTCCCACCACTCGGGGTCTTGACTGCCCATCTCAAGCTACAGGGTAAGTACGGGCTGCCCCACGATGCTCTGGCCTTCCTGCCCTGGGAACACCACCCACTCCGCCTCTGGCCTCAGCAGGCTTCTCACAGGATGCGGAGTGCAGAGTGACAGGGCCTGGCTAGTGCTGGGCCAGAATCGAGCCTGTGCAGACCAGGCTCCCGCTGTCTCTGGCCCCTCTCCCTGCCAGCTGGGCTACCCAGCCCTCCTCAGTTGGCAGAGGCCTGGCATTCACACCCATCCCTCCCATAATTGCAGCTTTCACGCCACAGGAGGGATGGGGTTTGGGCTGGCAGATGTGAGCTGCCACAGCGGGAGAAGCCAGCTTCCCCCACTTCCTCCCCACTACTCTGGAACATATTGGGGCGGGGTGAGGCTCAAGCCCCACCAGGTTGTGCAGGGTCAAGGTCACCATACTTGGGGTGAAAAGACCAGAGCCCAAACCCTGAAACCATCACTTACTGTGTGTGTCACTGGACACAGCTCTAGGCCTCTCTCAGCCTCAGTTCCCTCATCTGTAAAACGAGGTGAACGAGTCTTTTATCTCCTCCCAGAGCAAGGTCAAGGAAAAATGAGACAAGGGAACTAAAAGCACTTGCTAAGCTACAAAAGATCTCACCAGCATAAGGGATCATCATTAAGGTAGCAACAGTTCTCCTTAGGGTATAGGACGGAAAGCTAGAAAGAACACAAGTCTCCAAGTTAAACAAACCTGCGTTCAAAGCCAGCTCTGCCACCTGCATCTGTGTCCTCATCCGTAAGGTGGGAGTGATACTGTCAAGGGCATTGGGCTGTTGTGAGAATTACACAAGCTGATACATGCAGAGCACTGAGCTCTCAGTATGTTCGTTAGTTTTATACTGTTAATTCCTCTACTGATACCTGTACAATTTTAGCAAGTCCCTTAATGGCTCTAAGCTTCAGTTTCCTTGTCTGTACAATGGCAATAACAGTACCTCCATCACAGGGTTACTGGGAGTATTAAATAAAAGAACGTATGTAAAGCCCTACGCAGCACAGGGCCTATTCTCCCTGATGGGGCCTACTGGCAGATGGGGACTCAGAGAGGTCGTGTCAAGACTGGGCGTCAGGAGCCCCACCCTGGAGGGATCCAGAGAGATTCCCCTCTCAGTGGCCAGGGGGATCCTCCACAACATTTTCCTGACCCTGGGCACCGTGCCTTCTTGGCCAAGTCTCCAAGGGGTCTTTGTGGAAGCCTAGCCTCATCCTAGGTCCAGGCTAGGCTTGTCCCAGAAGCCGTCCCTGACCCCCTAGGCAGGGTTAGTCGCTCTGGTCTCAGGGCTCCAGACCCTGTGCTCATTCCTCAGTGTCCCCTAAAGATGGAGTCCTCCCTGGGGCAGGAACCCATCTCCTCCCCTAGTGTAGGGGCACACCCCTCTCCCCACTCAGCAGGTGCTCAGGGAAATCAGGCCCCAGGAGAAAAGGCAGGGCAGGCCATTGCAAGGCCCCCTCCACCCTGCCCACCGAGTGAGGGAGAAGGTCTGGAGATGTAGCCATAGAGGAGTGGCTGTGTAACCTCAGGCTGGCATGAGACTGGAGAGGGGGGTTCCCCTATCTTCCCCAAGCCCCTCCTTTGTGGCTGGGTGGAAGTGGGGGGGAGGGGAACTGCTTCCTGGAGGAGGCGGGCTTCAGGGGTCCACAGAAAAAATAAGAGAAGACTAGACACCCTCACCTCCCCAACTCAAGGGAGCCCCTTTAGCTACCTTCAACTCCTTTGCTGAGGTCAAGAAGCAGGAAGTAACTGGGTGTGGGTGTGGGGGCAGGGAGACAAGGCAAGGGCTAGGATTTCAGCACCTTGGCCCTGCTGAATAACACGGGGTGGGGGGGTGGGGGGGAAGGAGCCCTTGCCAAATCCAAGGGTTACAACAGCTCCCCACCGCAGCAGCGCCGGCCCCGCCCCTCACCTGACTCTGGAGCTCACTCTGCTGCTTGAGGCGGAGGTTTTCCGGGGTGTCAGCCACCATGGTGAAGGACTGCTTGGGGTAGTGTCTGCAGGACAGAAAGAACAGATGGGGGTCACTCTGGAGAAGAAGCAAGAATCTCTGGGCTTCTCAGAGCCCTCAGGCTCACTCCCTCTTAATCCTAGCAGCCCCCACCCCTGTCTTAGCAGCAGGACCAAGGTGTCCACCACATAGGACTGAGAGGAAGTAACAGCTTCTCAGTCTCAGCCTGGGTCAGCTGAACTGGGAAGACACATCAGGCCTGAGTGACTGGCCAGTCGGCCAGGAACATTGTCCTGCCCCAAAGGGAGGCCATCAGGACTCTCTCTGAGGGTTTCAGATTACCCTTGTTCGGGGATAATCCATGCCTTAGGGTTCACCACATGTGAGGTAGATGGGGCCGGAACACCCAGAAGGGTCCAGCCAGGTTAGGTAGGGCAGAAGACAGGCATGGGAGCAGGACAAAGCTTTCAGTAAAGACCAGAAATGGAGACCAGCCAAGGAGAGGAAGGCAAGAGGGACACAGAGACAGAAAAAGAGGAAAGCGATACGGATATCCGGAGGGCTTCCTAAAGGAAGTGGTGAGAGAGAGTACACACGCCCAAAGTAGTGTTTCAAATGGCTAACAAGGTCCAACTTCACTGGAGGGTGGGTGTGAAGGCCAGCTTGTGGCCAGAAAGGTGGTTACCCACAGGTGACAGACAGACGACAATAAAAACTACAGGCAATGCTTGCCCCGTGCGAAGGGCTTACACGACTTAGTTCGTGAAATTCTCACAACCACCCTAGGTGGCTAGTACTGTCATTGTTCCCCTTTGACAGATAGGAAAACTGAGGCTCACAGAGGTTAGACAAAGTGGCCAGGACACACAACCAATAAGTGGTGGGATTCAAATTTGCAGCCAGACAGTCTCTCCAGAGCTTAGCACCCTGAACTAAACCCTCTATTCCCCAGGCACAGGACAGGGTCCTGTCTCCCAGAAAGAGGGCTGGTTTGGGGGTAGGAGGAGCTAGAATGGCCCACAGTCAAGTCTGCAGGGACTTCCAGGGCCATCTGGTCCCACCACCTCATTTTAAATAATAGGAAAGAATGAGCTGGCCCCAGGCACTTACCACCTAACAGACTTCATAATTAACCTATTATCACAGTGGTTTATTATCTTCTCTCCCACTACTTCTCCATGAGGGGAGAGTTCTTTGGGTCTCTTTGGCTCAGTAATTTATTCCTAGAAGAGTATCTGGTGCTCAATAAATATTTGTTGAATAAATGAATGTCATACTAGGCATTGAAGCTGGGCTGGGGCTAGAACTCAGGTTTCCTACATCCTACTGGGTCGTGACAGGTCCTCTAGCAAACCAGCTACAGCAGAAGCAGCCGAGTCACCGTGGTTTGTGCGTACGTGTTTCTATGTGAAACGGGTGAGGGTCCACGTGAGCCACAGGTCGGGGGCTCTCCCAGCAGGAGCCGGAAGTCTGGCCATCTCTAGTGCTGAGTGACTATATCCCACCACAGCCTGGACCACCTGCAGATCCCTGGCTCACAAGCTGCCCCCGGGTAAGAAATGGACTGCTTCCTGGGACTCCTTCAAGGTATGTCCCAGCCCAGTTGGCTGCCATGCCCTCTAGCTGGACATGAGTTGACCACCTACCTCTGTGCTGTCAATCAAACCTGGCCATGTTCTCCATCCACCTGCATCACCCTGAACCAGAGCTACCTGCTAAACACAACTGCCCTCTGGGCTACCACTCATGGAGGGGCAGAACTTGGGATTTAGATTTGGAGAACTGAACCGAGGAGGGCAAGGGTGGCTAGAAAGTGCACAGTGGCTCTGACACTGACTTGCTGGGTGATCTCTGCAAATTTGTTTCCCCTCTGGGCTAGTTTCACCGTCCAAGGTCTAGATGATTCTAGCTGTGCCCTTCTCTGCCAGCCCCCACCACCCTACCAGGGTCCTGGCCCCCCCCCTCAGGTCAGCCCAGGCACACAGCTTGACAACAGACGGAGGAGGAAACTGAAAAGCAAACACAGGTGCCTGCAGCTGGCAACATAAAGGGCCCAGGAAGGAACACGGGGCTGAGGCTGTGGGTCCAGACCCGAGGCTTGGCCTAGCTCCATGCAGCCAGGGCCACCCACAGTTGAGCAGCTCCATTCAAAATTCCTGAGCAGCTCCAGGGAAGGGGAGGATCAGCTGGGAATCTGTTCCCAGGGACGAGGAAGAGAACAGCAGAAGGGATTGAAGTGAGATCTCTAGCAGAACTGGCTGGTCCTGAGGTTCTAGAAGGGAAGGTTTCAGATATGCCCCTCCTCCCACTTCTGAGCCATCTGGAAGGCATCGTGGAGTGGGGGAAACGATGAAGAGAGCAACTGTGAGCAGACACCCATGTGGTGGAAAAGGGAGATTAGGTCCTGAAATGGGATGGAGGAGAAGACCTCTACACAGCTCTGGGCGAGAGCCTGAAGGGTCAATTCTGAGAAGACTATGCTGGTTAGTATTCAGAGGGGAATGATGGAGGCTGGCTGGGCAAGCAGATGTCTGTGGGAGCCAGTCTGCAAACCCTGGAGTTTCCTGTTTGCCTGAAGGTACAGGGTTAAAATGGAGTGCCAGCTCCAGGGCCCAAGGACAGCCAGACATGTGTGCCTGACATGCCCCACCCACTCTGCAGCTCCTACACACTTAGCATGATTCCCTCACACACAATGAACGTACAGACAGACCCTCTGTAGCGACACACGTCTCCTGGACGCTGACGCTGGCAGAGCCACAGGCGACGGTGATCCACACAGACCACACACACACCTGCTGCACCCACACCCTGCCCTCTGCTCTGCTAGCCCACACTGCACCCGAAGAGTCCTTAAAATTGGTCTCAGGAGACCCTCCAACACGCAGCAAGTGCCTCTGGATGGGGTTGGCGGGTACTGGGTCATCTCTTTGGAGCCACCAGCTAAGGGAAGCCACCATTACACCCCCAGATCCCAGCCTCAACAGCAGGAACACTAATCCCATCAGAATGATTGAGGGGCAAAGAACAGCCTAGATGTTGGCTTAATCCAGGGGGAGGGATTTTAATCCTGTATGAGATTAACTAGATTAAAGAGGAGCTCCAGAGCTCCTACCCTCCCTCCCTAAGCCCCAGCCTAGTTCTCAGGAAGGCAGGTGGATGTGACCATGGGCTGTATTACTCCTGCTGGATCAGCCCTGTCCCCTCCCCACAGTCCCCAGCCCTGGCAAGACAACCCTGCCTTCCCCTTCCCCTGCTCACTGCGCTTCAGGTTTCCATGGCAACCTCATCCTCAGCTCCAGGCAGGAGAGCAGCACAGAGCAGGCAAAGAGAGAGAGAGGTCTATGGGGGTGGGGGAAGAGACAGACAGCAAGGGTGTCCTCAACTGCAGAGGAGCTCATGAAGGCCAAACCAGGTGACTGTGCCTGCAGGATCCTTGTGGACAACTTAGAGAAGAAGACAGGTACTGGGGGGTTTGTTTTCAAAACGGAAGGCATAAGAACATCAGTACTGTACCCCTCCCCCACTGACATGACCGGCTTCAAAGAGGGCTCCGACTGATTTGACCTCTTTCCAGAAACAACTGCTGGGAACGCTACCTTTTCCCTCCCTCTCTGTGCTCAGGTTGAAGCTTACCCAATCCATCACGCTCAGACCCCAGTGGGATGGATGGATGGATGGATGTGGGCACTGAGACAACGACAGGCCCCACTGGATCCCCAGCCCCACCAACAGACTGGGCCATGTTGAGGGAACAAAAAGGGCAGGGTAGGGAGACTAGGCATTTCAACCCCAGCCTGGAACTGGGTCCAGAGCACAGCCGTCTTTTGTCCCTTCTGTGGGTCAGCCTGTCCCTGGCCCTGTGTTAATCATTCCAGGCAGGCGAGCTCTCTCCCGATACCCCTCCCCACCCATCACCCTTGCTACCAGGGAAACAGGGAGGCATGGAGAGAGTCCACTAGGACAGGAAGCCTGGGGGGAGAGGGGAGGAGGAAGGACCTCGAATCCATGAGGATATAACCAGGAAAAGCCTCTCCTGGAGGAAAAAAGGCATAGGGGCAGGGGCAGGGCAGGGCAGGGGCCAGGCAATCAGGCAGCTGTTGGCAGCAGCCTAGGCCTCCAGGAAAACTTACAGGCATGCAAAGCAACTTCTTAATATACTGTAGCCTATGCACAGTCTCCCCTGAAACCTTGCCACAAGGCTTTGAGCTAGAAAAGGCAGGCATTATCAGTGTGTCCGTTGTACAGCTGATGAAACTAAGGCCCAGTGTCAAGGACACAGACTTTGTTCAATGCCCCCTACACCACAGCTGGCCAGGCAGCCAAGGGCAGGCTGACATCCATGAGGCTGACTCTCGTCCACCCACAGCTCTCGGAGCTCTGAGGAAAGATGTGCTTAGCAGTGTGGCTGAGGAACAAGGTAGTTCACCTTCAAACCCAACCCCTGTTTCCAAGCTTGCCCAGTAGGAGAGGCCCTCTGGAGTCTCTCAGCCACCCCAAGTCAGGATCTACCGGCTACTTAGAACTTTTCAAAAGCAGGTGTCTCAAGAGGCTGGGCAACCACCTGTGAGACTATAAGAGAGGGGGCCCTACCCCAGGAGAAGGTTTATCTCTGAGGACCTCTGAGGTGCCTTCCTGTTCAGAAGGACTATGAGGACAGGGAGGATGCTGAGACGCCACAAGGCTCCAGCTTACGGGGCAGCAGGGACAGTTTAAAGGACACCAGCCCCACTCCCCAGTCCTGTCTCAGCTACATTCCAGAGGCAGAAAAAGAATAGACCAGAGATCCTGAGAGCCCAGCCCCCTTTCTCCAGGCCACCTCACCCCTTCCAGCAGGCTTGGACCTCTTCGAAAGTCACAGCTTTTTGTTCAAGGAAGAACAAAAATACATCAGTGAAAGCAACAAGGGGCCTTTGGTTTTACCAAAAGGAAAAAACAAAAAACAAGCCCTACATCCAGCCCCTGGAAGGAGCTGCAGATTCTAAAAGCCCCTGCTGGGACCACTGCCGAGGGGCAGGGAAGGCTCCCTTCTAAGCCAGTTTCTCACCCCAGTCCCCAGGCCTAAGAGGCTGAAGTCGTGGTGGGGATTGGAAGCAACAAGGAGACATTGTCTGACCAGAGAAAAAAATGAGCAGCCAAAAAGATCAAGGCTAGACTTAAGGAAGAACTTACGAGCCCTCAGGGATTGGAGACAAAATGAGAAAAAAAAGAAAAAAAACTGCACTTACCCCTGACGGCAATACATAAGGAAAAATGATTCTGCCAAGTTGGGTAAGGCGCTGAAGCTTCATGCCTCGGTTGCCTCAGCTATAAAATGAGGTTGTTAGGATGCAAGGTGATCCCTGAGGTTCTCTGAGGCCCTGACATCCTTGAGCGTTAGGATTGGGCGGTTGCGAATGAAATGGGTGGGGGGGCTGCCTGGAGCTGCATTGGCCACTTCGGCTGCCCCTTTGAGTTTGCCAGGAGTTCCTAAGTGGTGCAAACGGGTTAACATGCTCCACCGCTAACCAAAAGGTTAGAGGTTTGAGTCCACTCAGAGGCACCTCAGAAGAAGGGCCTGGCCATTTACATCCAAAAAATCAGCCACTGAAAATCCTGTGGAGCACAGTTCTACCTTGACTCAGACGAGATCGGAGATCACCATGAGTCGGAATCGACGCTATGGCAACTGGTTACTGGTTGAACTTGCTTCCCCCACCCCCAAACACACACCACACCCCTCTACCAGCCCTCTCCAGCTCCCTAAGACAGTTGCTCTCATTTTTCCCTATTAGAAGCAAAGAATTCTGGAGAAACAGGAAATCCCCAGGCCACAGACTTGGATTTGCCCCCCACTGCCCCACCCCCTAAAAGCAGGGGGATTAGAGAGAGTTTCCTGGAATCCAGGGACACTTTAGCACCCAGTCCTGCCCAGCAGAGATCCTGCCCTGCTCCCAATTAAGGCCTGGGGGAAGGGGCAGGACCATAGCCCCTGGTTCCCCAGAACCACAAACATCTCCAACCCTCCTCAGCCCCTCATTCAAAACAGGAAAGCCAGAGAAACTGAAGAATATACCCCAGAAATCTGCAGTCAATGCAGAGCGGAAGGGTGTAACTAAGTCCCCATCCCTCACCCCATCCCGTTTCCTTCACAGCCCATGTCCACTCCCACCTGACACCCCCAAAAGCTGGTTCCCTGGTATGCAACTCCTACCTTTAGGCCCCCCGCCCCAGTGACGCTCCCCAAGGAGAAGAGACCAGGCACATTTCTCCCCCTCCCTGCGCTGCCCCAACCTCCTGCCTCAACCTGGGGCTCTTAGACCGTTTGCATGGAGACAAAGAAGCAGGTTTGTACCAAGCCGGGTATGTGGACCAATCTGCCCCACTTTCAGAAAATCCAGTTTACAAAACAAAAACAATTGAGGGCATAAATATTTCTCTAACAAACAGAGCGGTCTCACCCCACCCACCTAGAAGCTCCAAGAAAGAATTTGGTTAATGGTGATTCTTCTATTGCTGGCTATTGTGGAAAGCAAGCGTGCATGCCCCTATCTTGCCACAATAATGCCTGGGTGGCCAGGCTGGAAACGTGTGAACACAAATGCAGCCTATTCAGTCAGCCTCCCTGGAGTTTCTCCCCAGCCCCAGCATATGCGTCTGGGTACACACGTACATGCGGGTCCACCGCCACCAGGCTCACACTGTGAGCTCTGGCCTGTGTCCTCTCCTCTGCCTCACCCCAAACAAACCTGACACAAAGAGAGTAAGAGAAGAGGCCTTTTCACTGCTTAAAATTGCTTTCCAGAACTTAAATCCCAGTTCAGAGAAGCCACAGGGGAAAGAAAGTTTCTTCTCTCTTGACCTCCCTCCTGCAAGCCCCAGGCTCCTTTCCGGGCTCAGGGGTTGGCCAGAGACAAGCAGAAGTAGATGCCTCCCTGTACACCAAACACACACTCACCAACTGGCAAACTGCCTAGAGAGATCACCTGCCCCTCTGCAGCCCTGCACTGGACAAGCCCAGCATGGAGTGAGTGATGCTGTGGAGGACGCAAGGCCCAGACAGGAAATGGGAGAATGCTACATCCTGGAAACCCTGGGATCCGCGAACTGGATGTCACTGAGGGATGGGACCAGACACAGGAAAGGAATGAGAGTAAACACATGGCATAGTGCCTGGCACATAGTAGGTGCTCAATAAGTACTCCTTGGTCTAAGGTCCAGCATTCCTGCATAGGAATTTTTATCTCCATCTCATAGATGGAGAAACTAAGGCTCAGACAGAGCACGAGGCTGCTCTTCGCAGGCCAGTCTGCATCTGGTTCACACCCCCTGCCTCATGTCTGGTTTTCTGGCTTGCTGGCACAGACACGGCTCAGCAGATGCTGGCTGAGGGAGTGTAAGTGCCTTGAGCAAGGTGCTACTACTGCTGGAGTGTAAGGAAGCTGGGTCACAAGTCTCCCTGGCCCTCCCCAGGTAACATCCCTGCCGGGTCAAAGGTCAATAGGGTGTGGCAGGGCCTGGGGCTGTAAAGGCTGGAGAGGAAGGGGAGGGTAAACCTGGTTCTAGGGCAGGGGGCCAAGAGAGAGATAGAGGCACCTCTGCCTCAGCAGATTGGAAGCAGCATCCAGGGAGAGACGCTTCATCCTTTGCCTTCCCTAGAGCCCCAACAAGGAGCCCTGGTGGTGCAATGGTTAAGCGCTCGGCCGTTAACTGAAAGGTTGGCGTTCAAACCAACCCAACAGCACTTCAGGAGAAAGACCTGGTGATCTGCTTCTGTAAAGATTACAGTCAAGAAAGCCCTATGGGGCAGTTCCACTCTGTTACATGGGGTCAAAATCAACTCGATGGCACCTAACAACAGAGCTCCCCCAGCCCCTGTAGAAGCCCCCACACCCACTTGCAGCAGCCTCCTCAGAAGAGAGAAAATGCAGAGGAAACAAGGTTAAGCCTCTGATTTGTTTCTCCAACTCCCAGTGCTCACTGATTCTAGGCTACTGGAGTCTTAGGAAGAGACAGGAAGAAGCACTGAGTCCCTGCCACCCCCTGGGCTCTGGGGCCCAGCCAGACTTCTGTGGGGGGATGGAGGCTCAGAGGTTACCCCCAAAGGAGCCACAGCCTCCAGAATCCAGCCTGAAGTGGTCCAGCAATCAAGGGGTTAACTGCCCCAGCTTCTCTGAACCCCACCCCACTCCCCAAAGAAGGGAGGAAGCAGCAGAGAATCAGGGCTTGTGTGAGCCCTTAAGAATTCAAAGAATGTCCCATTTCCCTTGAGGGGCTGGGAGGGGTTGGTAGGGGGAAGAGGAACAGAAGAAGCTAATGGGAGAAGGGGCAGCTGAAGGAGGGCCTGGGACAGAGCTTTGACCCTTCCTCCATCCATGGCAAGCTTGCCAGTGCCCCAGTCCTTTCCAGAAGGGACATTCATGTTGTTTTTTGGGCTTGAGATTTTATCAGAAATCTGTTTTCCCAGCACCTGGCACAGGTTGGGTAAATAGCAGCAGACAGGCAATACACGTCTGATGAATGATCAAACCCCCTCTGATGAACGATCAAACCCCTGAGGAGACAGGGCAGTGGTAACAGCAGGGAGGGTGAGGGGTTGGGAAAGGGCAAGACAGCCATCAAAGGTGCTTTAGCCCCCAACCCCTTTTAGACAAGTCCTAGATTTCCCCTCCTGGGTAAACTTTAGCTGTAATGAGCCTCTTGACTGAGAATTAAAACAAAAAAAGCACTCAAGTCAGATCCTGAATTTGAAGATCGACCTTGCCACCTAACTTACAAATGACTTGACCTTCAGAAGCCTCAGCCAGCAGAGTAGGAACACAGCCCTCACCCAGCAGGCAGGGTGGCTGGGAGGCTGTACCTGGCACTGAGCTGGCACTCGCTATGCATGAAGTCAACTTGAAGATGGAAGATGTGGTGCTCTGGAATTGGGAGGAAGGACTCTGCATGAGATGGGATAGCGCTGTCCCTCTGGTATGGAGGACCCTGCCTCATCTCCAGGCAGCCCAGGCTGCAGGTCACAGTGCGGAAGGAACAGAGTCTAAGCGAGCTCCACCAGGAAAGGAAGGAAGGTCTCCACAGCTGCCCTTTACTAGGCAGGGAGAAGACTTCCCTCCAGCCACACCACGCCCTTCATGGCACCTCCACTTCTCAAGAAATGAACACCAGGAGGGGCTAGAGCCAGGGTCCCAGAGAGTTTTCTGAAGGAGGAAAGCCAAAGTGTCTAAAACCCTCTGGTCAGGGAGAGCTGAGGTTAGGAGACAACCATCTGCTGTAATGGAGAGAGGAATAAGGGTGGAAAAGGGAGAACAAAGCCCCCAAACCCAAATATAACTGGACAGAAATCAGGCAGAAGCCAGGGCAGGTCACTCATCCTTGAAAGACCCCATCCTTCTCTCAGCAGTGTGCAGTGGAAAGAACACGCTTGCTTTATTGCCCAGAGACTGGGCTTGAACTAGCTTCTCACTGGCAGTGTGATCTTTGGAAAGTCCCTTCCCTTCTGCAAGCCTCAGCTTCCTCATCTGTAAAACGGGGATAATAGCCCTCATTTCACCCAGCTCTTACGAGGTCTAAATGTGATTAATACTTATCAAGTAGAGTGTGGAAGCACTCAGCAATGTCATCTTGTGGTTATTAGAATGGGAGGAGATAGGCAGGGAAGGAAGAAGTCAGGGAGGGAGCCCAGGTGCCTACCCAGCCCCCTGCCCAGGGCAGGACTCACGCGTTACAGTAGGGCTTCTTCTCGTAGCCCTTGTAGTTCTTCATGTTGAGTGTCATCTTGCAGGTCTCGCAGTGGAAGCATGCTTTATGCCAAAACTGGGGGACAGAGGCAGAGGGAGAATACCCATAAGACACCAGGACTTTAGGAAGGGAGGCTCAGGACCAAGGCTCAGGCCTGAGGAGGGGACATCTGGGAGGGCTCCATGCCGGGGTCTGGCTCAGGCCCACAGCTGTGGGGAGAACATCAAATTACACTGGGTGGGCTGGGGACATCTTAGGTCACAGGCTCTGGCAGCTGATGACACTTCCCTCCCCTGCCCCCCACCAGTTAGCCATTTGAGCTGTCAGGAGGGGGAGAAGGGACAGACATGCACGGTGAGTGGTGAAGAGACCAATTATAGTGGTGGCAAGCAGCCTCCAAAAGGTCAGCTCCACCTCCCCCAGACCATTCCTCCTGCCCCAGAGTCGGGGAGGCCTAATTGCTTATGCAAAGCTGCGCTAGGGTTGCTAAGAAGCAGCAGCTGAACATGAAGGGGCAGCTCCTCTACCCTTACAGGGCCCAGAGAAGCTGAGAAGAGCCCAGCCCCAGGCACCCAGGCACTCCCAGTTCCCACACCAGGACCTCACAACATACACATAAGACCCACATAGCCCCAGGTGGTGCTCCAGCTCCCACACCTCCCACTTCCCGTGGGATTCCGACCAGAGGAGTGAGGTGGGCACCCCAAACTCTAGTCACCAATACCTATATACTTTCTGCCCTTCCTTCATCCTTCTCCCACTCCTGTATGGAGTATCAGGTAGGAGAGCATCCAACAGCCTGTCTCCCACGAGAGAATGAAGAGCTCTGCTTAAAAGTCTTGGCGTTGGACACACCATAGTTGGCATCAAAGCTCTACCCCGACTACCTTACCTAGGTGACCATGGGCAGCATTCCTTACCTCTGGAACTGTTTCCACATCTGTAGAATACGTATAATAATATCTATCCCTTCTATCTTGGAAAAAGTACACCCAAATGCTCCTTAGAAGCAAGGATAGCAAGACTTCTTATCACATACTTTGGACATGTTATCAGAAGGGACTAGTCTCTGGGAGAAGGACGTCATGCTTAGTAAAGTACAGGGTCAGCAAAAAAGAGTAAGACCCTCAATGAGATGGATTGATACAGTGGCTGCAACAGTGGGCTCAAGCATAACGATTGTGAGGATGGCACAGAACTGGGCAGTGTTTTGTTCTGTCGTACACAGGGTTGCTATGAGTCAGAATCAACTCGATGGCACCTAACAACAACAACATCCCTTATGGGACCGCTGTGAGGATTAAATGAGAAATTACCCGCAAAGCCCTCAGCACAGCACCTGGCACCTGTCAATATTCAAATGTTCTGTATTGCATATTAGGCACAGCAGGTATGAACCTCAGCCGGGGGCTCAGTGGGTCACACGGGAGGTTTGTGTGTGTGCTGGGATGTAAGTGGGGCTCTGCTGTGCTCAACCAGTTACAACGTGTGCATTCGAGAGTGAGGGAGAGGGGAAGACTCTAGCAAAGTCCAGAGACCAGCAACTGCTCAGTCAGAGCCAATGAAGGGCAGCTGATGGAGGGAACAATGTACAAGGCAATGAGGGAAGGAGAAACAAAGCAACAGAAGACACCCAATCCCTGAGAAATGGTGCTGCTCAGGTAAACCGATGCAAATGAGATATAAATCCTCCCCTGGCACCATCCTGATACCCTAGGATGAGGCCCTGGGATCAGCTATCAACTAGGGGTCCAGCTGCCCAGACCCCAGAATCCAGGATGCCTGGGTGGCCTGGGTGGCCTGTCTTTGCCCCATTTCCCAGCAGCCAAGGATACTTCTAACACCCAAAAGGAGGAGGCCAGGAGCCAGGGAAGAGCCAAGGGAGACTTTTGAAGGTACTCAGCCACTGTGCTGGTTCTTGGCCATCTGTCAAGGAATTCCCCCAAGACATTGCTTTTCAAAATGTGTTTCCCAAACCAAGAGGTGCTTCTGGGACACTCTGGAGGAGGGAGTAGAAAAAGGAAGCTGAGAAGTTGGGGTATCACTTTCTCCCATCCCAGTCCACTTCGACCAGAGACCATGGGGGTCATTTAGAGGGGCAACTGCCTTCTAATAGGGTACTTTCTCTATCAAGGAGACCCAAAGGAATCTCTTATGGTGGACTATTAAACATTTCGATAGGAGAATGACTCCTTGGGAAGAAGGCCAGCTGGAAGTCTGGAAGCAAAGGGATGGCTGGTCTAAGCTTGGTTCTGCAGTAGCGTTCACAGCCCCCCACCCCAACCAGTCCTTCTGACCTATCCCAGAGCCCCAGCCACTTGGCAACTTCTAGACTCCTCCTGGTACATAACCCAATATACACAAAACCTCTGGAAAACTGAAACAGGGTAGCTCCTGCCCCATCAGCCCCCAAAATGGCAGTCCCTTTCCCTCCCCCATGATTGGGAGGTGCTGGCAGAGTGCCCCAGCTCTGTCACCACCCAGTCTGCTGGACTGTGTCTGCTTAGCCTGCACATGCCCCTGCCTGGGCCCCTGCCTACCCCCACCCCCACAGGGGCCTGCCAGGAAAAACATTCTCCAGAATCCAGACCATGACCCACTTTCACACACATACACAGGAATATGCACTGTTCTAGGACTGGGGACCTCCAAAGATTGCCTCCTGATTGACTTAGGGGAGACAAAGACAGACAGACACTCCCTGCCCCAGCAGATGGTCAAGACCCTACCCTGGAGCCAAGCCCTTGGGGAAGAGGGGCAGTGTATACTGACAAGGCCGGGGGTGGGGGTGGTTCCACAAGATGCTTCCAGGTTGCCTAAGAAAAGGGATGGTGTCCACTTCCATCAGTAGCTCTTCCCCACCTCAGCCCCAAAGAACACTTGCTCTCAGCTAGACACATTAGAGGCTGGGAGGGTGGAGGGAGGAGGCCACCTGTTCCCTTGCTCAGGGAAAGCAGAGCAGAATAATGACACTGAGTGGACTGGGTACCTTCAGGCTTGCTACTGAGCTCGGTTTCCACATCTGTACAGTGGATCTAAACCCACCATCTCACAAAGGTGCTGGGAGGAGTAACGAGATGACGCGGGCTCCGCATCTAGTGCGGTACCTCTAGCTGCTTCATGTTACTTCCCTCTCCTCTCTGGAAGAGAGCCCCGAGATTAAAGAAAATCCAGCAGCTCCTACCACTCTGCCCTCTTTAGCATAGGACAGCAGTGGGGAAGGGAGGCCGAATGTGACAAGTCACTCAACAGCCCACGTGGGCCAACCTAGGCCAGGCACCAGGCAACTCAAGATAAAAGAGACCCCAACCCTATCTCAAAAATGAGGAGGTCTGGTGAAAGACATAGTCATGCAAGTAAGTCAGTATGTTCCCATAGTGACCCTCTGTCTGCCTCCTTCCTCCTCCCCTAGGCACCTAGCCATGTCCCAGAGCAAGAGTCCCCTCTTCTCAGAGACCCCAGGTAAGAAGATTTCAGAGAAGCATTCCTGAAACTCGTGACTCAGGGGAGCAAAGAACAGCTCTGAGTGTGCAACTTTAATCTATGCGGCTTCCTGATAAGTCCATTGTTTCTGTATTAACAGAAACCCAAACTGCCCCCGGACGAAACCTCTGAGGGCTGTTAGCAGCTTCTCAGCCCAGCTCCAACTGAGCTCCAGCTGAGCTCCACCCTTGACATTCTGAGGCTCCAAAACTGCAGCCCACTCCACAGAAAGGCAAACTGAGGTTGACAGAGGCAGAAGCCCTGCATGGAATCTCCCTTACTTGGGCTGGACTTGGGCCAGCCCCACTCTTCCAGAATCACCCAGGGGAGAGTGGCCTCACGAGCCTCTCAGTCGGGGGTGGGAGAGGGGAAGGGCAGCAAGCTTCAGATCGCTGCTTTGACTGTAGCCTGGCACTTTGCCCTCTGCACCCGGGCTATGACTCAGGGTTGGAGTATGAGCTCTCTCCTCCCTTCCTGTCCACCAGGGTTGTAACAGTTTCTCCCTCCTCCAGGGGCAACACCAGCCCCACCCTGGCCAGGTCACTAGCCTAGCTCAATTGGCCACCTGGGCTGCTGGCTTAAAGGCACAGACCCTCTGAACCTCTGCTGCATCTCCACAAATTCCAAGGGGAGATTTTTATGCCTGGAGTCTCAGCTGCCCAGGGTCAGGAAGGACTGGCACCCACTTCCCACACCAAAGAGACAGTGTAACTAAAGTACTTTTTTGCAAACATACCAGGCCAAACAACAGCAGAAAGAACTGTAGAATTGAATTCCAGCTCTGACCAGGAGAAAGAGACAAGCCACATCACCCATCTGTTTATGGGGTTCATAACTTACAGGAGTAGTAACACCTGCTTTGTGAGGTGGCTGTGAAGACCTGGCACCTCGTAATAAGTAGTAGGGTGGCGTAGTGGTTAAGAGTTCCGCTGCTAATCAAAAGGTTGGCAGTTTGAATCCACTAGCCGCTCCTTGGAAACCCTATGGGGTAGTTCTACTCTGTCCTATAGGGTTGCTATGAGTCGGAATCGACTTGACAGCAACGGGTTTTTGGTATTATGAATGGATGGTGACAAGCAAGGTGATTGTGGAGTCCTCTTAGCCTCAGCTAGGAAAATCCAGTACCACAGCTGCAAGGACCTGTCTCCTTTTGTGTCCTTGAACCCAGGCATTCCACTGTCCAGCCCAGCCTCCTTCCACCTTGTTGCCTGCTGCCCAAGGGCTCAGATAACCAGAGGCAGAGAGCCCTGCCCTACTGGGGATTCCAGGGGAACTATGGGCAGACCAATCCTCCATCTTCCCAAACGTCTCCACCTGTTTCCAGGGGAAGCAAGCCAGGGAAGAGGGGCATGACAAGATTCTTGACAATGCAGGTCTCCAGAAACAAATGTTTCCCAAAAAGGCCTGTGACAGAAATTTCCATGTCAGGCAAAATGGAGAGGACACACAGCTGACAAGAAAGAAAGACAAGGCCTCGCTCGCTCCCCAAAAGCCCTGTGGCAGCCCTCCAGAGTGCCTGGCACAAAGTAGGTGCTCAATAAATATTTGTAAAATGAATGTGGGAATGAGGTCACCTTGCTTCTCCCCCAACCCTAATTCCAGAATCCTCCGGGGAAGCAAATCTCAACCTCCTTCCTCAAACACAGTCGTCATCAATACATATTTATCCAGCATGCAGAGCACACTGGGTACTGCAGGTTGGGGGCAGGGCAGCCAGCCAGAGGCGACATAGCCTCTACCCACCTTGACAGATATGGCTCAGGGAGGAGAAAAGGCTAACCTGAGGAAGCAGCTTGTGCTTTGGGCCATGTTGTAGGTTAAGTGCCGTAGGTGACTTGTAGAGGAACAGGCAAGTCTAATTTGATTCTCCTGTTGTAATGATCTCTTGTTGTAAATGGGAAGCCTCAGGAAGTTGGCTAGTAACAGCACCTATGGGACTGAATGTTCCCCCATCCCAGGTCTCAGCACAGCGTCCTCCAGCACCAGTTCCCTGGTCCAGGTGCCTGTCCTTACTGCCTAGAGGGGGTTGGGAAGAATAAATCTGATACCTGGATATTCCAGGCCTCCTGCTCCGTGCAGGGGGTGAAGTCTCCCCAGGGCGACCTCCTGTAGGGAGGGCTCTAAAAAGAAGGAGGAATCACCAACTCCCACTCCCCTAGACAACCCCTACCTGAATGTCGTCTTTCACCTAGGGCAAGAGAACAGCTGGGGAGGGTGCCCTGAGGGATCCCTGTCCCCCTCCCTTCTGACACACAACACCAAAGGTCTTACAAGGGAGCCAGGTGTGGGGCTGGACACAGGATCTCAAAGAGGTAGGGAGGGCACAGTCTACACCACAACCTCTTCCAGACACTTCGGCAGGCACTTTCCAAGAGCACTGCCCCACCTCCAAGGAAATGCCATCATCATACCCATCTGACAGATGGCAAAAACTGAGGCCCAGAGCCATTCATAAAGCTGGCAGGAGTAGACCTGGAACTAACACCCAGTCTCCCAACTTCCAGTCTAGCAATCCCTCCATCATATGGGCTTTATATGGATGAAGGTGTCCACAGCCTCTCCCCAATTCATGACTATGGAGAAAAAGGGGGCACAGGGAACTCAAGGTGCAGAGGCCAAAATCCCTACCACCAGAGAACAGCAAAAAACCCAGCATGCAAAGACAGATAACTTCTCAAGGGGACAATTCTTGAACTAGACTCCAAGCTCAAGTCCCACCCTCCAGAGGCTGGAATGGGCGCTGGGAAGGTCAACAACTTCCCCTTCTGCCCGCGTATGTCCCCTCCCTCCTCTCTTCCTGCCCAGCCAAGTCAGGAGGGGCAGTGAAAGCAGCAGTCCTATATGCCTGCTTCCCCCAAGAGCAAGTTCAAATGTATTTCAGAATCTCAGAACCCTATCCCCTCACCCTGACCCAGAGGCCAAAGGTCACTGAGGAAGTTGCACCCCCAAAGAGGAGAAACACAAAGTGACCAATGAGCTATCCTTTCCCAAACAAAACCAGCTCCAGTTCAGTAATGAACTTGGCCCAGGGCTCTGCACCCCCATTCCATCCTGAACCCCCCCCCCTACCAATTCAGGCAGAAAGGTGGGAATATTTGGACTTGGATCCACTTTGGGAGGTGGGTGAAAAGGCACAATGGAGAGAGGAACAAAATCCCAGGGGCCTCTGCTCCTGTCTCGGGAGGGGATGTGGAAGGGGGCAGATTTTGCCTTAGGATCTTAGGGAGCTTCCAAGAAGACCGGATGGGACCCAAACTGTGCTGGAAACACCCAGTTCTACTCTCCTCCCCCCTCCAAAAGTATAATGGCAACCAGATGAAGGAGTCTAGGATGGGGGAGGGGGAGGCGCGTATAAGGGCCCCCAGGGGACAAGGAATTTCCAGAAGGCCACCCTCTTTTCCCCCACAAATACCTTCCCCTTTCCTTGGCTTCCTCTGAAGTCAGCCAACCCCATCCTCCATTGGGGAAACCTGCTTTGAAAAGTTAGCTCTTTGTTCTACAAACCGGTCTCCAGGATCTGAGCACAATTTCAGGAGATCTCTTCGAAATATCCCCCACACACAACTCATTCCAGCACCCGACCCCGACCCCGACCCGTTCAGGTTGGTCCGCCCAGCACTCAGAGTTGGCTTTTAATTTGAGGTGTGGGTTGAGAAGCGAAGGGAGGAGGTCCGATAATCCATTAACCAGCTAATCACCAAGGGGGCTGTAGGTCGTCCAAAAAGGGGGTCCCACGGTGGGGCGCGGGTCCTTATCCGAAGTCCCTTTCACCATAAGCAACAGTCGCCGACTCATAGCCTCTGCCTCCCAGTCTCCAGGCCAAAAAGCTGGGCCATTCGCGACCAGAGAGGACGGCTTCGCGTGGGCCCCCCCAGTCTCTGCCCCGCCCCCTCGCCGCCCCCTCGCCGCCGCCTCCCCCAGCGCCCCGCGCTTCCGCCTACTTGGCGCTCCGCGCAGCGGCGAAAGGGAGCGGCCGTCTCCTCTCACTCTCCCGGCCTTAGCGGGTGGGACTGCACCCCTAAATGCCCCCACACACTGGGCCGGCTTCCGTGCTCGCCTTCCATCCTCCCAGCCCCGGCGCACAGAGCCCACTCTTCTCCAGGAGTGGCTGCCCGCCACGCGTGGACTCTTCGCCTCGCCTTAGATCTCCTGGATTCCACATCGGGGTCTGCCCCCACACCTCATGACACCGCCCTCTCTCCCTCCTCCCGGGATAGCCTTAGACCCGGCCCCTCTCTCCTCCCCCAACCCGAGCAGTCCCGGATTGCAAAAACGCGTCTCTGGTCTCGGGCTCACCTTATCCAGACAGTTCACCTTCTCCGTGGGGTACACAATCTTGTCGCACCGGGCGCAGTTGGGGTTCATAGCTCCGGGAAAGGCTGGAGCGGGAGCGCCCGAGCTCGCGCGCGTTCTCTGTCCCCGGGGCGGGCTGGCGGGAGGCGGCCGCGGCTGCGACTATGCAGACGGCGGCGACGGCGGCTGGAGCTGGGGAACTGGCCTCCGCCTCCGCCCTCCTTCCCCTAATAAACACTGCGGGGAGGAGGGGCTGCACCGGGGCGGGGACGCGCCGCGGGCGCGGGCAGGGGCGCGCGCGACGAGGCGCGCTCCTCGGGCGACGTGGGGCTGCGCGGGGGCGGGTTCCGGAGAGGGCTGCCT